GACTAACAGGCGAGTATAAATGGTACATGTTTACGAAAATAGATCATTCTTTACTTACAAATGCAGTTGAGAAAGACTGAGATCTTTCTAGTTAGGAATAGAATTAACAAGTTTTGAATAATATAAAAAATTATTGTTTCTAATTATTCCAAACATAAAGTACAATGCTTTGATACTAGTATGCTTGGACTTTTGGTTTTAAGGCATGGCATCCTTGGCGATACATAATTAGATGTTATATCGATTCCACTTGGTCACTAGCTCATCTTACTCTATACATATAAAGTAGCACAAATGCAAGGAAAGAAAGAAACACAGAAGTCTTTCTGTTTGCTGTCTACTTGGCAAAAATAAACACAAGTTAGAGTTCTTATTGCAATGACATTTATTTAACTTTCATATTTTTTATCGTTATAAAAACAATACTTTGATTGGAAATAGTTACTTTAAGACCCTGGATAGCACATGTAATTCAGATGATAAAAAGAAACGTAAGTTGCATATAAACCAAGTACTAGTCTGTGGCAAAATTTTCCAAGTTAAGGGGAGGGTCTCAAAAAATGGAGAATACGAAATCCCTAATCTTCCCAAAAACATTAAAGAAATATTTAACTTAGGTACGATTCTTCTCTGGTTTCTGACTAGATGGAATATTCAAAGTATATTTGCTGATATGTCATATATTTAGATGTAAGAGGTTTAAAAGACCATATTTTTTTTCTCATCACAATTATACAACTTGAAATAGAAATGGTAAACTGCGTTTGAAAACTAGCAGGGACTGTATTTTTGGTGGAATGGTCGCGTATGAAAATATCTTCTTTTCTGCCTTTCAAAATTATCATAGAACATTGAATTTAGTTATATTTTTAACGCAATCAAAGACTAGACGAAATTTTTAAATGTAAGTTAAATTAATAATAAGGGACTAAAGTTTCAAAATATATCAACTAAATAAGATTTTTCACACATACTAAAACTATGTTTGCTTTTAAATGCTTCAAACCCAAGTACAGATTTTAGCCAAAAATCCGTAAAAAGTGTTTTCTTAGTAAGCAATCAAAACTATTAGTTTTTGTATCATTTTGTACCTTTATGTGCCAACTTTACTATATGTGAAAATTAGAAAAAATTAAAAATAGGAAGCATATAAAAATAACTAATGAATCCTAAAATGTTAAGAAAAATAGAGGATATTCGGAATAGCAAATATCCATTTTATTCAAATTACCCATGGCAATTTGGTAATATCATTTTATAGACCCTATATGGTAGTATCTTTTTATGCAAAAATAATAAAAAAAAATCTTTAAAACTACAAGTAGGGATCGCATTATTGGAAACAGTAATTTCAGCTCTATTGGTCAGAGACTAGAAGAGTTTATACGATAGCAATGCGTCCGTCCGTCTAGCTGTCCGTCTGTGTGTAAACAATTTTTTTAACGCTACTCCTCCTACAGTTTTGGTCTGATTTTAATATAACTTGGCACACAAGTAGACTACACTAAGATACATAAAATAGTGAATTTTTGATTTCGATGGACGGTGTTGCCATGATTACTAAAAATTGAATTTTCTGTAAAATTTCTTTTAAATGCTACTCCTCCAACAGTTTTGATCTGATTTCAATATAATTTGGCAGACAAGTAGACTACACTAAGATACATAAAATAATGCATCGGTTTTTCATTTCAATGAACCATGTTGTCATTGTGACTAAAAATAGAATTTTCTGTGAAATTCCTTTAAAATGCCACTCCTCCTACAGTTTCATCTGATTTCAATATAACTTGGCCACAAGTAGACTACACTAAGATAAATAAAATAACGCATCGGTTTTTTATTTCGATGAACGGTGTTTCCATGGTTACTAAAAATAGAATTTTCTGTGAAATTCCTTAAAGACACTTCATGTCCTACAATTTTTGTCTGATTTCAATATAACTTGGCACACAAGTAGACTACACTAAGATACATAAAATTGTGCATCAGTTTTTGATTTTGATGAACAAGGTTGCCATCATTAGTAAAAATAGAAATGTCTGTGAAATTCCTTTGAAACGCAAATCCTTCTACAGTTTTGGTCTGATGGCAATGGTTGCTTTTCTCATTCTTTGTTATAAGTACAAACCAGTAGAGCTACAGTCTTGACAGAGACTTCTGGTTTAATGTTAAGTCAGACGACACGTTCCCCAAATACATTTAATTTTTCTAAAGAGATTGTCATTGAAGAACAGGTACTTAAACAAGATTCCTCGCAAAAAAAATAAGGGTACCTTACCAGTCATTTGGACAAGATAACAAAGGTTCATATTTCTTATATAACCCTTATGGGTAATCCTCTGAACGTCTATTTCACCATTTTGTAGTGTACCTATGTTTAAAAACATTTTGAAAACAATGTAGAAATCAGAAGAGAATGCCAAATATGAATATTTTTTTTTCTTATTTCAAGATATAACAAAACATATTATTAAGGAACGTGTCGTCTGACCTTAATGGAAAAGGGTAATGACCTTGACCTGACTTTGCCTCAAATGATAAACGGTCAAATTTATTTTAACTGATACCATCACTTAGAAATATTGTCCTTTTGGTTCTGTGAACATTTCATTCAATTTTAAATACAAGAAATGTGAGAGGAATCCTACCTTAACTTACATAAAACATTTATTAATGTAAATAACCCCTACCCCATCCCATGCCGACGCTTAAAAACATACTGTCTCATTACTTCTCCTTACATTGAAAACGTCCATTAAACTACAGCGTAGTTTGATCGGCTTTTTGTTTTATTTTGATGAGAAAGTCGGTGATGTTACATTGGACGATAAACTGAAATTTAGATATTTTTTTTCAAGGCTGGCGTTAAAAAAACGAACATATCCTTTAAAAAATAATACTACAGTAAACTATGGTTTACTTAAGTTAATTATAGTACCAAAGTAAACATTTAGAAACTTAAATTTACTATTGATAGTGAAAACCTTGGAACTTTGATTTGCTATAATAAAACTTTGAAACTTTGATTTACTACAGTGAAAACTTTGGAATTTAATTAACAATAGTAATGCATTTGAAACTTTGATGTAATTATGTTTTGATTCCTATTCTTAATATTTCATTCTATTTCAAGGTTAAGATTAAGAAAAAGGTTCCAACATTTTTTTAGGAACAGGACCATTTCTCTAAAAGAATAATGTACAATGAATGAATACTAGTACATGCATTAATAGAGAGGGTCTCTCTTGTTTAGAAAAAAGAAATATTCATTTAAATCTATTTCATTTATATATCGTAAGAAAGAAAATATATCTATGTCGAGACTGCATGTGGCTCTGCTCGTTTGTACTTACTTATAATAAAGGAAGATTAAAGTAGCAATTGGGGCTTAAAACTTTACAAAAGAAATAAATAGAATGACGGTCCTTAATTAAGTCTACTTTTGTGACAAGATTGCAATAAAACTACACCTGTAATAATAGCTTTCAATTAAATTTTACAGAATTTTCAATTTTAGTTACCATGGCAACATCAATCAACAAAATCAAAAACACGAAACTGATAATAGTGTATATCAGTATAGTCTACTTGCATGCCAAATTATATTACAATCTCACTAAAACTGTAGGAAGATTAACATTTTGAAAGTATTTCACAGAAATTTCTATTTTAGTTACCACGGCAACATCGTTGATCGAAATTAAAATCCCAATATTTAAGTATAGTGTACATATGAGCTAAGTTATTTTGAAATCAGACAAAAAATGTTGGATAAGTAGCATTTTATTAAATTATTTCTATTTTTAGTAACTAAAGCTACACCAATCACAGAAATCAAAAAACCGATACAGAAATTAAGTATCTTAGTGTAGTCTACTTGTATGCCAAGTTATATTGAAATCATTCCAAAACTGCAGGGGGAGTAGCATTTTGAAAAATTGTTTACAGACAGACGGACAGGCAAATATACTATAAAATGAAGTGTTCGTCATTTAGAATTTAAAAAAAATCACCCATACCGAAAAAAGTTATAACTTAGTTATAACTTTTGTAACTAAAAAAAGTTACAAAAAAGTTATAACTAAGTTATCGGAGTTTGGAATGGCATGTTTTAAGTGAGGTATAATTTAGTTATAACTTAGTTACAAAAAAGTTATAACTTTTTCATAACTTTTCACCTTTTATTGAACATAAATACAGCAAGTACATAAAAGTTATAAAAAAGTTATAACTACAAAAAGTTATACTTATTAAAAGTTACACAAAAAGTTATAAAATAGTTACAAAGTTATACTTTAGTTATACCCAAATAAACAGTGAAAAAGTTACAAAAAAGTTATACCCAAAAAAAGTTATGAAAAAGTTACAAAAAAGTTATACCCGGAAAAAGTTATACCCAGGAAAAGTTATAACTAAAAAAAGTTATACCTATTATAAAGTTATGAAAAAGTTACAAAAAAGTTATACCCCAAGAAAGTTATGAAAAAGTTATAGAAAAGTTATACCTAAAAAAAGTTATAACTGCAAAAAGTTATAACTATAAAAAGTTATACCTATTAATAAAAACTTTTGTAAAAGTTCCAGTGAAATTATACACTGTATGTTAACCTGTTGTGGATTTACTCAGTTATAAGCTTTTAAAAAGCTACTCATTAAAATTTAAAAAAAAAAAAAAAAAGATTTTTGAAATTTATACAAAAAAGATTATTTAAATATATTAAAGGCAATAACAATTTTACCTAACAAACACGATAAAGATAGCTTGGTTTATTGTCAAATACAACTAAATGAATGCACATGCAATTGTTTTAAAAATTCAAGTGTACCTTATTTTACATCATGTCATCTACAACAGATTGAAATTTCTCTGGTTGTTTTAAAGAATACATTTTTAGCATATAGCAATTAGGGTCTTTGTAAAATTACCTAGCAAACTGCATTCTACTCTTGCTAATTGTATAAACAGACATCACTAATTTTTAAATATTAACACCCTATTTATTTTTGATCTAGCTGTATTTCAAAAAAAAAAAAGAAAGGTTCTATAAACAGTGATTTCAGTCACAGTTTCTAGCTGCATACCACCCTCCTTGCACAGGTATCCTTGCAGGTGTACAGTTGTTTATCTTTATTATTTGAAGATAGGCTGCACTGAAAGTTGGCTGAGTTAGCTGACAGACTTAGCCATCGTTTGACAGGCCGCACTGGTAGTAGACCAAGTTAGTTGAAGGACTTGGCCATCGTTTGACAGGCCGCACTGGTAGTAGACCAAGTTAGTTGAAGGACTTGGCCATCGTTTGACAGGCCGCACTGGTAGTAGACCAAGTTAGTTGAAGGACTTGGCCATCGTTTGACAGGCCACACTGGTAGTAGGCCAAGTTAGTTGAAGGACTTGGCCATCGTTTGACAGGCCACACTGGTAGTAGACCAAGTTAGTTGAAGGACTTGGCCATCGTTTGACAGGCCGCACTGGTAGTTGGTCAAGATAGTTGACGGACTTGGCCATCCATTGACAGGTCGCATCTGTAGTTGGTCAAGTTAGTTGACGGACTTAAACGTCCCTTGACAAGCCGCACTGGTAGAAGGCCAAGTTAGTCAACGGTCTTAACCGTCCCTATATTGACAGGCCGTACTGGTAGTAAGCCGAGCTAGTTGACGAACTTGGCCATTTCTTGACATGCGGCACTGGTAGTAGGTTAAGTTAGTTGACGAACTTGACCATCCCTTTTAAAGCCGCTCTGGTAGTAAGCCAATCTAGTTGATGGACTTGGTTGTTCAATGACAGGCCGCACTGGTAATAGGCCAAGTTAGTTGAAGGACTTGACAGGCTGCACTGGTAGTCAGCCGAGCTAGTTGATGGACTTGGTCATCCCTTGACAGGCCGCACTGGGTCAGCCGAGCTGGCCGAGGGACTTGGCTGGTGGACTGCGTCCCTCATTTTAGCTGGTCAGACGTCTTGGCTGGTGGGCAGTGTGACTGGTATTCGGCTAAGTTTTCGTTGAAATATGCTTGCAATTTTAACCTTTTCTTCAATTCTGCAAAAAAATTGTAAAGGTTCAAAATTTAGATTATAGATATTTAGATAGTATTTTTCCAGCACTCATTTGCATATCAAATTGAAAACACTCTTCCATATCAATTTATTCAAATTCATTAATTCATCCAAAACATGGAAAATACAAGACTAATTTAAGATCTATACTTACAGGAATCAGTTTTAGATTGAAAGATTTCTTGAATTTTGAAATGAAAAAAAAATTTACTTTAGTCTTTACCTTAAACAAGTAATATTGTGAAGAATTTCATGTACTCCAGGTCAGGACAGATTCAGCTCATGGAAACATCATGTACCAATATTCTGCTTTATAAAAAAAAAGAGGAAAATTAATGTTAAATTACTCATTTCATTGCATTAATTAACATTGCAGCTAGATCATGTTATGACCATGCTGATGCGTATAAGGCTTCACAATATTTTAACAGTTCAGGGAATCTATAAACAATTGTGGGAATAAATATGACAAAGAACATATTTGATTAATATACTAAATGCTGAAAAATATTATGCGTTTCAAATACTTTCAATTTGTTTACTTCAGTCTTTGTCATTCGACATACCAATCAAAACAAACAAGAAATCTAAGATTCACACGCCTAGAATTGTGTTCATTCCCAATATTTCTTCTTTTCGGAATGTTATTCCAGAGGTACTAAGTATACTTTACCAAAATCAATAAAATGTTAGCATAAATATCGCCTTACCAACTGGTTTTATCTCCTTTTTTTCTATCAACACTTTCAACATCCAAACATTCAAATCGTCCATGGAAAAATCCGCGCTCTGTTATTGACCAATCATAGAACTCAAAAACGTCACGTGATCGGAAAAAATAAATAAATAATTCATTATTAATTTATTTTAAATGCAAATAAACCTAATTGTGTAATTTCAACCTTGAATTAAAAATATAAATACCAGTTGGTGTTAAAATTTTGAATTTATCTTAGTATCAACAAAACGGACATCGGCGGCCGGCGGCCGCCATATTTGCCGCCATTTTGAATTTAATATTTGTTTACTATTATAACTGGGTTATTTAATTATGCAAACAATAAAATCTACATGTACTAGTCATCTGCTTAAATCTTAATATAACTGGCAGTCTTTATTCACAACATCGTAATATCTGTTCAACATGAACATGCACATACTCTATGCTGCTGTTTATCTTTTTAGCCACCCATATTACGACTGATTTTCTTCAGATTTCAAACAACCTGTGTAGAATTGTAACATTCAGAGATTGTGTAATACCCAAGCTGAAATATTTACGATGTGTTGGCCACAAAGGTCACCTAGTACAAACACCTGTCTCACAGAAAACAATAGGGAAATTTACACAGTTTTGCACACGAAGACTTCATGAGATTACATTTCATACTGTTTATATCTCTTGCAGTACATTTATATTTCCCCAGAATTATGAAATATATTCATTCCCAACTTCAGATGTAAGTGCATTATTATTATTTACAAGACAAATATTATGTCTCATCAGGGTCTCAATAAATACGTATTTTCTAAGAGAGAGAGAGAAGGACAGAGAGAGAGAAATTAATTATTCTCAACTTTAGTTGAAACTTACATGACAAATATCAATTTAAATAAACAATAATATTTATTACACACACATGACATGTACTGTGTACACACCCTCAAACACCACAGAGAGAGAGAGAGAGAGAGAGAGAGATAGAGAGAGAGAGAGTTTCTCATTTATAGATGCAATTCACAAGATTTTATTTCACATCCCTTCTGTTGAACTTGACATGGCTGTGGACAGCATATTTACCGGTATTACGAATGAGAAGTCTATCACAATATTATTGTTCAGGAATTGACAAAGTTTTCTGCTGCAGTGTTTGAAAAAAAAAACATTTTGAACACGATCAAAATTCATTCAAATTAACACTTAGTTTATATGTTATTTTTGAAAAAAAAAAAAGGTTGGTGTCAAGTAGTATCCATTAAATAACCCCCAAAACTTGTAAATTTATACTGGTAATGCTTGAAAATGGCTAAGTTCAGAAAAGTTACATTTAAGTTCTACATAAAAATGACAAAGTCCAGAAAAGTTATGTTTTAGTTATACATGAAAATGGCTAAGTCCGAAAAGTTACATTTTAGTTATACATGAAAATGACAAAGTCCAGAAAAGTTATGTTTTAGTTACACGTGAAAATGGCTAAGTCCAAAAAGTTACATTTTAGTTATACATGAAAATGACAAAGTCCAAAAAAGTTACATTTTAGTTATAACTTTTTTGTACCTCACAGGCTAGGTATAACTAAGTTATACTTTAGTTATAACTTAGTTATAACTTTTTTCGGTATGGGCAGCTTCATCAACTTCATTCGACATGTTTTTTTATTATCTGATAATTATATACATATACTAGTTTTTAAAATTGATTCTAAGATAATCATACCACAGTAAAGTATTCAAGTAAAACTGATAACAAATAATTAAAGGGTGAATGAACATTTTTCTCAAAATAATATATCATTCAATGTATTGCATTCATTTGTATTCTTTATGTGTTATATACTTAAACATAAATTGTCAATATTGAAATCTCTCTTTTTCGAAATTTGGAGAAACGAAGCAGATTAAAAATAAAATTTTAGTGAAAATCATCTATTTATTTCTCGATACGTATATATGAAACGTTAACAGTGACATGTGTTAAGCTGTATCAAATCTAAAATATTTAGATATATTCTATATATTTTAGGTTGAGTATTAAAATCATTGTATCAAAATAAAAGAAATTTAATTGTTTGTTTGCTTCTGTATTTTCAGTAAAATGGTTCTTTTAAAAGGATTTGAATATCATTTTATATTTCCCTTTGTTAACATATCCAGCTATCTGACTGTCTGTCTCTTAAACATCCGGGGCTTAAAGACGTTCCCTGGACTAGATAGAAAACACAATAAAACTTCAATAATTACCATTTAAATAGCACAAGGGCATATATAAATATTTTGACAAGTGATATCTCATTGTCCAGGAAAGGTGGATGTGTGTTTCTCTTAGATATAACAAGCGATTTCTAAATTTTATATCATTAAGGGTTGCAACTGCAACGCTTAATGATACACTAGTGTGTATCATTAAGCGTCGAATATGTCGATATTTGCTTGTTTCATTAAGCGTCGGTGTCGCACTGCATTTGTGACGCTTAATGATATAATTCTGTCATTAAGCGGCGATTTAGCATTAGCGGTTGATGATGTCAGCTATTAATGCAATAATTTATGGCATTAAGCGTTGCAATTGCATTGTAGCAATTAAGCATTGCGACGCTTAATGAAACAAGCAAATATCGACATATTCGACGCTTAATGATACACACTAATGTTTGCAACGCTTAATGCTCTTTGTATCATTAGGCGGCGTTTTATCATTAGAGGTTGCTACATGCACAAGAATCTCGTGCGTACAGCATATACATGATTCATTGAATTAAATGGGTTTAATAGATTATAGAATGATTAATTTTGACTTCCGTAACCTAAATAAAACGAAGAATAAAAAAAAATAATTACAGACTATGTAAGAAGGGTCTCTCTCTCTCTCTCTCTCTCGCTTTTTACACACTTTACAAGAAAAACAAATTAATTAAAGTAAAAAAAAATCTTGTTGAAATAATTACTTACACAAACATAAAGTAGTAAACACTAGTCTATGAAAAAAATGTTTGCTGTTAATTAAGGGAAATACACATGGAAATTATTGCATTTCTGAACAGGTATGAAATATATTGACCAAGAAGTGACTCTGTAAACTAATTTACACGAGAATCTGCAATTCATCGATATCCGGGAAATTTGATTTCTAGAAGAAAATAATTAGAGGTACAAATATTACATGTATGTATATGAGAATGTGAAAAAAAAACGGATAGATGAACATGAACGTAAATTTATTAAATCTCTCTCTCTCTCTCTCTCTGAACATGATTTGTAAAACTTAGAACTGATTTAAATCAGTTTAATTATTATGAAAAAAGTAAATTATATATGATTTGTAGAGGAATTTTTATAATGCTGCTTTAGCAGTTCAAGCATTTTATTTCACTTTTTTTTAAAAAAAGTTTTCGTACTGATCGCGGACGATTTACAAACAAGAAAAGAATACCTGATACGCAGGTAGAAATACTTCCACATATTCGAAAGAAATTCAATTTTCTATGGCTCAAAATGTCAGGTTAAATCAATGAGTATATACAATTGCCAGATTTTTTTGGTGAATGTATACAACTAGTCAACTAACAGACTACGTTTGAGAAATTATCGTGAATACTAAGGGTTTATTTTTCTTGCATGCACTTTTTCTTCCTCGCATGAAGCAACTTACAAGTATCTTCATTGATATGTGGTCTACACTATCTATAATATAATTATTTCTGCAAAATAAGTGTATATTCATAATCTGTATGAATATCATAATATATAGACTCGACATTTATTTATTTCCCTGTTTTTATTTACGATGTAGGAATCAGATAATGTTGAATTAGCTATCTGATATATTTAATATTTGTGAATATCCTTTTTTAACAATTATTTATTTTACAGAGAAAATAATCGCTAAAATTATCGACCCGTGTCTCTGTTTCGCACTGAACGGCAATGTACTTGTACTTGGATTTGTACATGCGGATTTATCGCTTTTAATACTGGAAACATAATAATTTGCACAATAGATATATATAATTGTTCTTGTTTTCAAATAAATATGAAATATGAATTCAACAGAAATAAAATTTAAATTTATTCAGGATACTTGGCAATCATACCGTCAAAGGCGAACCAAAGTTTACACCTCGAAGCTGTTATATTCTGAACTCACATGTTTGTTAACAAGCTGTTTGTATTAAGTCAATCTTCATTTTGATTTTTTTTTTCTACCTATCAAATAATCATTATTTATGATTTCAAAATTCTATAACTGAAATGATTTTTATAAACAAACTATTTTCTTCCGTAATTTTCTCGCACGGTGGAACACGGAGGGTCCCCCAAGGAAACGGTAATGTCCACGGTGTTACACGGTGCGTCTCTGGAATAATCGCAATATACGCACACCGTGGAACACCGTGTACACGGTGTAACACGGAGTATTTTACACGGTGTATTTTCCACCGTGGGGTGGCAAAAACTCGTGAGCTGTACTGTATCATAATAAACAATATCAAATTACAAAACTTAATCAATACCTAATTAATTTTGGAAATAAAAGGCTGGCCATCAAATATAAACTGACCAACAGTTCCTCTGTCTAATTCCCATAAGACCATGCTCTGAAGAAATGAAAGAGACATGCAGCTAGCCTTCCTACATTGAACACATTAATTAATCTTTAACTGGATGCTTGTCTACTCATTACTCCCAAAAGATTATTGGATCTGCACTATCTACCATAAAACATTTTTAAAACATACAAAACATCAATGATTTTTTTTTTAGATTTAATGTCAGACAATTAATTGTTAATATGCAATTCATATGGACATGCAGATTCCACCCCTACCCCCATAAAATTAATTTTTAAGTTCATAATATTATGTAATATCAAAATAGTTTAATATGCAATATCAAATTAGTTTTAATTCTTCTCATCAAATTCATTTTAAAACTTCGGCTAGCCAACTGCAATTCATGTCAAAGCTATTTTTAATCCAACAGGCTTACCCATTTGGCCCTATACTCAAGGGATATAGATAGCACGGATGCTCTTACAGCTACTCCTCACACTAAACTCATTAATTTCTCTCTCTAATTTGACATGCAATTTTCTGTTATCAAAATT